AAAGAGTGCCAAGAAACAGTAGTGCTGTATATTAAGCAGGAGTAATCTACACTTATGAGTACCTTTTTGCTTCGCGATTCTTGTTGGTACTTCTTTTTTGTCGTATAGTTGTTTGTATGCTAATTTATCTCACATATTCCAGATTGCTATTTGTGCACATCACGAGCTAACATAATATAATCATCATGAACATGACTCTTAGCAAAGCTAATAAAGTTTGCACCACCCTGTGAGTGAATATCTTTCATAAACTTGATCTTCGCAGAATTAATTAACCAAATGCTGTCTTTAATTAATTATATCAAAGAGAATGGACAGGATTGAGCAAAGGTATTTAACTTGCTTGTTACATATGAAACAGACATAAAGCAGTTCAACATAATTCTTCCCTTTTTTTGCCCTTTTGGTAGGAATTTTTACCTTGAACTAAATAAAGTAGTGTGTGTACTACTCACATTTAAGACTTCGTTGGCAAATTTTGGATGACTATCAATCAAATCAAAAGTAGAGTGGAGAAGAAAAGGCGGACTCGTCGAAGTCGAAAGCCGAGTACTTTCCGGCCCAGGTCCCCTCCTCTACTTTATCTTCCTAATAACAAATAAAGACCCCCAAGCCCCCATTCAAGTATCAAAAGCCACCCCCACTTGCTCGCTCGATAAAGCGCGCTCCTTTTTCACTTTCTCTCCGCCACTGCACAATTTGGAGCTGAGATTCTGCTTTCATTTTGAATCAGACAGTGAAAATGAGGACAGCAATGTTGAGATCCGTACTCAAGAGAAGTTCATCTAATCTGATGAACTCTACGACGTCAGCCTACGGAGTTCGCCGTGGATTCGCATCGGAATCTGCTCCCGAGAGGAAAGTCGCCGTCTTGGGTGCCGCCGGAGGGATCGGCCAGCCTCTGGCTTTGCTTATGAAGCTTAATCCTCTCGTCTCCAAGCTCGCCCTCTACGATATCGCTGGCACTCCTGGTGTCGCCGCCGATGTTAGCCACATCAATACCAGATCTGAGGTCCTTTTATCCCTCTTCATTTTCAAACTCGATTTACCAGTTTCTCAATTTCGATTGTTTGAATTATGGAAATTCCTTAACTGTTGTATTTGAACGCTAGGGTTTAAGATTTTGTACAATTTGGGGATTTAGAGTTTTATTTGTCGCACATTTCCGTTCATTGCCACGCCACTCTAATAATATACGCCATGCTAGCTTTGCTGGATTTTATTCATTTGGTTGCAGTCGGTGCGGTTTTCAGATGAATTCAGATGACTGCTGAGGTAGTATAGTAGCTTCTAGTTACCTTACTCGTGGCACATAGAATTGGTAATTTCAATTAGATATGGATCAAATTTCGTCTCTAACTTGTTGCTTGCATGATGTTGAGGGGATGTTTAGAAGTCGCGAAAGAGGATTTCACTTTCTTGCATGATAAGTAATTTGGATGTGCGACTGTATTTTTCTTTTGACTGAAGTTCTGAGTTTGCTTCCTATTAAATTTTTCCAAAGTTTATAGTTGGCTGCTGAGGCTGATTGGGTTGTATTTCATGCAGGTTGTTGGTTTTATGGGAGAAGAGCAACTAGGACAGGCACTGGAGGGATCTGACGTTGTGATCATTCCAGCTGGTGTGCCCAGGAAGCCTGGTATGACTCGCGATGATCTCTTTAACATCAATGCTGGGATTGTGAAATCTCTCTGCACTGCCATTGCCAAGTACTGCCCGCATGTGAGTATGATCTATCTGGCTTCATGATTGATTTAATACTTGAGTGCAAAGCTGCTACGGTCCTAACCTTTTTGGGTTCTGTACGAATCAGGCACTTGTTAATATGATTAGCAATCCTGTAAACTCTACTGTCCCCATAGCTTCTGAGGTCTTCAAGAAAGCAGGGACTTATGATGAAAAAAAGTTGTTTGGCGTCACTACACTCGATGTTGTCAGGGCGAAGACATTCTATGCTGGGAAGGCCAAAGTCAATGTTGCAGGTATATCTGCTAGGCCTTGGATTATAGTGTGGTGTATGTAAAAGAGTCTTTACTCGTTCTTTGTCATGTTTTGGTTTTGGGAAGTAGTCTATTCTGGCCTTATCTTACCTTTTAATGCTTGCTCCTTTCCTCCAGAGGTTAACGTACCTGTTGTTGGAGGTCACGCTGGTATAACAATTCTACCATTGTTCTCACAGGTGCCATCATGCTGCTTCTATCACTGATTTTCTTTTTGTTATTTTTTCTTTGTTTTTACATATGATGTTTTCATTGTCATTGTCTGAGCCATGTGTGGCTGATTTGCATCACAACTATAGGCAACTCCTAAAGCTAATTTGCCAGATGAGGATATAAAGGCTTTGACAAAAAGAACACAGGATGGTGGAACGGAGGTGGTTGAAGCTAAGGCTGGAAAGGGTTCAGCTACCCTTTCAATGGCGTAAGTTGCCTTTCATTCTTCTGTTGTTTCAAGTCTTCATGATGCTGTGTTTCAATGGAAGATATCGATATGATGTTTGACGGATTTACGGAGGTTGGTTTTCTTTGGTTGTATGGTGAAGAAAGTGTACAAGAATTCTTTTGAAATTATAATATCAGGTCTAAATTCTTGCATGATTCGAAAATCCTGCTGTAGCTTGGTCATGCACATGGTTCATGGTGGCTAAGTGGTAGTTGTGTGTTCAAGTGCTATTTCTTCCCACATCCTTGCTTCTTGTAATTGTTTCAAACCATCAGCTTAGTTGCACTAGAATGCTCATAGATATAAGCATGCTGATCTTATGTATAATGAGCATAATATTTCTATTCTAAAGAAGGATAATTTTTTCTCTTAAGCTTGCGTGCTAGATCTGCTTGCAAACATGAGGTAGTTATTATTATCTTGCCACAGTTATTATTGAAATGTGTGTTGGAAGACTATTAAAGAGCATATCCCCTGCAGGTTGTGGTACTAAAGATCAGTGGCAGTGTGTGCATCTTGATAAATCCCTTTATTGCAGCTTCATGCTTGATCTCATATTTTTTTTGTCAAATGTGGCATGTGATTCATGTTACACCTAATTGGCAATGTTTTAAGAGATTTATGATTTGTCCTTTACCTAACTAGTATATTTCTGCAGCTATGCTGGTGCCATATTTGCCGATGCCTGCTTGAAGGGCCTTAATGGCGTTCCAGATGTTGTGGAGTGTTCATTTGTGCAGTCAAGTGTCACTGAACTACCTTTCTTTGCATCCAAGGTACATACATTGATGTCCTTTGTGGTCATGCCCCTCTTTAACTTTTCATTTGTTGACACTAGCCCTCTTAACTTGGAAAGAGAAGCTTTATGTGTCTAGCCTGACCTACCTCTTTAGGCAACCTTGCTTCATTTGGAGATATATGCCTTTTGATTTAATTCTTCTAGTCATAGTCGCGTTAGAGTCTGTAGGTAGGTTACAACCTGTTTTTACTTGTCTGTGAAATGCTTCTGATAAATAAAGGGGAAACTCTGAGTCTCCTCATCAGTCAGAGAGTCTCACCACTTATAGTTATAGGCCCAAGGGAATAGTTTAAATTGTTGTTCACTTGGAAGGGGAAGCTTAATGTATCTAGCCTGACCTGCCTGTTTAGGCAAACTTCCTTCTTTTGGAGATATATGCTTTTTCATTAGACGTGTTTTGAGTCTGTAGGTAGGCTACAACCCATTTTTACTTCTGTGAAATGCTTCTGATAATAACGGGGAAATTCTGAGTCTCCTCATCAGTCAGAGAATCTCACCAGTTATAGGCCAAAGGGAGTAGTTTCAAATTGTTGTTTCTTGTCTTTCTTTACACTGGTCTATCAGATGTTTATGGTGCTTTTGCATTATCTTGTGTTCTTCTTATGTGGATATTGTGAAATGATTGCTTGTTCTATCAGGTGAGACTTGGTAAGAATGGTGTGGAGGAAGTGCTTGGGTTAGGCCCACTTTCAGACTATGAGAAAGAAGGCCTCGAGGCTTTGAAGCCAGAGCTTAAATCATCCATTGAGAAGGGAATCAAGTTCGCCAACCAGAGTTGAAATGACCTTTTTAATGCTTTATTATGACAATTTTGCCATTTTTGTGCCAAATGTTGTATCCATTTGGAGTGCCCTGTTTGCTGCTGAAGACATGCGGGCATAGTTGATGTAGGGAATCAGAGTAGACAGAATAATACCCCTAGCAAACTCGATGCGGATGTGCCTCTTGTTTTACATTATTGGACACTTATGTCCAATACCATACAATTTACAATGGTAAGCCAAATTTCGATCTATGCATTTATATTAATTGAAGGTCATGCATGATCAACTTTTGGTTTAGTATGCTGTATCATTAGCTAACATGTTGCCCCTTTAGACTACCCCTGACAAAATCTCACCTGCTGCCAATGTCTCCTGATATAAGGCTAGCAAGAAGTTTGTGAGCAATTTCATTTTTGAGTCGTTACCAAGTGAAATGAAGTTTTATGATTAAAATTCTCAAGTCTTACATGCAACTTAGTTCGTAATTTCATTACGACCGGCATCCTAAATTTGAATTTTGTGCAAGTGCAAAAAGCTGGTAATTCTGAATCCACAACCAAATTAAAATCTCCTCCCAGACGTTTCTGGACTTTTTACATATTTTTGGTGGCTTATGAAACTTTGTGAAGTTTTTTTCCAGTCGAGGAATTAAAATTCGAAGCATCCATTTTTAACCATCTTTCCAGACAATATGGCAACAAGCTGCGCGATATCCGTCTTGACCATCTCCTAGACAACAATATATGCTAGCATAATAATTGAATGCATGCAACATATGTAAATTTCAAATTTTAAATTTAAATTATTTATCATATATTTAACGATGAAAATATAAATACTGTCAATGTATAACAAATTAATTCTTTTTTTAATTGTTTTCTTTTGTTTTTGGCATGAGAAACTTCTTTTGTTTCTCTTGTTCCTAAACCCGAACCAAATACGAAGGAGTATTTTCCTGAGAATCACGAGGACAGTTCAGCCACACAAATTGAACATAAACACCGCACATAAATGTTTTCACCCCGCTCAATATACTGATGATGCAAATATAATTTACATAAGGGTTTTGAGGCTAGACGTGCTTTCGAGTTGAAATCTGTACAAAGATAACATAAAAACTATTTTTTCTACTTTAACAGCTTGGTAGTATGATACAATACGCAATAACACGTCCGAGCAGGCAATACAGTCTACACATCAAACTACTCTAAAAGTAGCCCTGAAACGTTCCTCCATCCAGGTCTAGCTCTAATGATCCTAAACTAGCCATATCACTAGCCCCCCTAAATAAATCAAACAGTAACCAAACTCCGAATATATAAGATAAATCCTACCTTGAGACTTGATAAGTGAAACTGGTAGCAGTGTTGGCAACCTGTATCTCGATATATTTCCATGGCACCACTCTCAATTAAAAACATCAGACAATCTTCTTAACTGAAGAGACCGGTTTAACAGATCAACGTTGGAAAATGCCAAGAACAAAAAGAAACCCACTTCAGCTATATGTCTCAACAATGCGGCACCATTTCTGCCAGCCAAGATATATCATCTAACAGATCTTGGACAAAATCACCAAAACAGAGGCAGAAGTAGTTTTAGAAGTATTCATCAGATAGATTCCAGCCCCGATAAACACCCATATATGAAATTTTCTGCAAAAACATGAAATGCATAATTCGATACATATTTGAACCAAGCTTTCTCAGGGAAAGAGAAAAATAATCAGATCATCTTCCATCTCAAGTTGAATCTCAAAGACTACAGAAAGATGTATCTTGAGAAAAGCAATACAAAGCAACAAGACCTCAAAATCCAATATGCAACAGCTAGTAGGAATTCACACTTTTGAAATTGACTCAACTCACAAGAGAATGCAGGTATACAAACTACCTTCTTCATCACACCTTGGTTACCCTCTTGGACAAGGATGGACACCTACACCAAGGTACGACTAATGCAGTTTGATAATGGCACTCCAGAATTCAACACAAAGTTGTTTCTCACAAATCAACCTAGTCTGACCACGAAAGCATTTCTTAATTGCTCCTAATCTTGTGCAAGGAGTTACTAGGGGCCACACACAACCAAAAATAATCAAATATTTCCTGTAATAAAAAATGTATCTCTGGCATTGTCCAACCAAAATGTAGAGAAACATAAAATAATATTTAAATCACTAACCCATTAAGAGATGGAAGAGTGCATCAAATCAAGCTACACATTGCAGGAAAGCCATAAATTTCAAAACAATATTTATTAAACACTTCAGAATTCACCCTAGTGGTTTTATCTTCCCCCAGCTCCTTCTGCACCCAACATCTCAACTGAGCGTGCCAACCCTATATGAGACACTCAATGGTATAGGAGCCTTCTCATACCAACCCCTGGGGATGAAAATATCCATCAACTTAGAAGCACGCTGTAATTCAAAATGTGAAAAGCAGAACCCGTCAGGTAAAACTTTTTGGCTGTTTTGACTTTACTGTCTTGATATCCCTTGCACTAATTTTCACAATATAAGTACACTTATATACTAAATTTGAGGCAGCTACTACCCAGTGTCAGAGAGTCAAACAACTTCAATACACACATCCTTCAACAAACTCTACACCTATGCATGTGGAGATGATTTGCAAACAAAATATGAGATCCCCTTCACCTTCTAATTGATATCCATTCACAAGATTATGGAAGTTTAAATGCATTCACAAGCCAAGAGTCTTGATCCCAAGAGGAAATAATAACCAATTAGAACGTATACATTCCTGATTAACACAAGCTACATACAACCTAGCCCCATCAACAGCCTCATGAATTGTGCTTACACTCTTAAATTAATAAATTACCTAACTTGAGCAACTGGTCTTACCATTGCAGAAAGCAAGAACAAATCTGCAACCTAAAGCAAGCTTTGTGCAACAATAAACCCTACTTACAATAGACAACAAATGTGAGATTCCTATGGACACAATTCCTGGTACACATAGGCTGTGGTTCGTCCATGCTGAAAAAGCTTCAGCCACAACAAACCAACTCAAGCTTGCGTAGAGTAGACATGTTTTGAACATGGAAGAATACTTATTTCCTGGTACAATTACCAATCACAAAATATTACAAAGAAAGGAAAAGGAAGTGGGAGAACAAGGAAAAAAGTAGAGCAAACTACCAAACTTTTGCAACAAATGCTTCCAAAGTTTATAAAAAACAGACAATTGGCTTGTTCTTACCAGCTAGGTACCATTCAAGTTTTGGGCGAGTGGCCTGCATCTGATCCATAGGCAGAGGAACTATCACTGTCAGAATCTGCAGGCAGGATACCATAATACCTCAATACATACATAGTCAAAAGCCAAGCACAAAATGTTATGACACCAAAAGTATCAAACACAAAAACAAGTAACAGAATGGAGCAATAAAGATAGCAAGAGGAAATTAAATCATCAGTACCACTTGAAGTTGAGCCGGAGTCACTGCTAGAACTGCTTGAACTACTAGATCCACTGGCATTGTCACCTTGCTTTTCGACTTCAACAACAGGACTACTATTCTTCTCATCTGTGTTAATAAGCGAACATTCAAATGCAATATCTTTACTGATTAGACATTTGACACAAGCCATGTTATACTAATTTTGACTAGAAAAGTAGATAAGATGATACCTCCTTTACTTTCTTTCTGTGGTTCCACAACTGCTGGGATTGGATTCTGCAATGCCAGAAAAGCGAGTTTTCAGGGACGGCATAGAAAATCAAGGGAAAAAAAATGCTAGAAAGGGGAGTTACAATTCCTCAATCCTCTACACATGTCAAGGAATCTTGAAGACCTAGTTTCTGCCAGGAATTATGGGAGATATAAATCAAAAGCTGTAAAAACAATAAACTTTATTGAACAAACTGTTCACATGCCTTCCTCTACCTACAGCATTCATGATGTGAACAAGAAAATAAGAGACAAAAACAAATAAGACTTATATTCCTTACTGTTGTTGGAACAGCCTGTGCAGCTTCAGCTCTTCTTTTCAGAGCAAGTTCAGCTTTTCTCTTGTTCTTACTTAGACTCTTCTTGTAGTTGGTGACAAATCTATCAAGCTCCCATAGTGTTTCTGCATCAACACTGTCAATGTCCACCTCAATCTCATCATCATGCTGACTAAGGGTTGTGTTCCTTTTCTTGATAATCTGAACAATAGCATCTAGCTTTTCTGAGGGCAAGCTCTGGAGGTTTGTACTAAGCTTCTGCTTCTCCTCATAAGTCATATCCCGTTTGTTTGGATCCTTGGCTTTAGGTTTCTTTGGAACCGGTGTTCTACCTGTGTGAGGAAGATTTGAATAGGTGGGCTTTAATCTGGAATCAACAGGCACAGTCATCGACTCTGACCTATCCAATGTCCTCATTGGAGGGGCAGGAGGGATTGAAAAAGGAGCGAGAATGGGGGCAGGAATATGAGTAAAGGAAGGAGGAGGGGCCTTTCTTGGTGTGGGAATAGGCAATCCTGCATCATAATACATCTGATAGGGAAAATGTTCCTTCTCTATAGCTATCCACCTATCTTCAAATATCTTTGACAACTCTTCTGCCATTGTGTGGACATCTTGTCCCTTCGGATTGTATGTCATAGCATTACGAAATACAAGCCTCACATCCTCAGCAAACTCCCTGGCAGACTTGTACCAATTCTGACCTAACCTAGTCTTGATTGTACCAAAATCCATTGGGTGTTTAATAATAATATGATAATCAGGTATATTAAGCTTCTTGGCATCCACTGGTTCATTAAACACCCAGGCATGCTTGTGCTTCATCAACCTCTGAAGCAAATTACTACAGCTCTTGAACACCTTATCTCTATTCCTATCAAAACCAAAGCCATACCCATATTCTGAGTCACCTCCATGTTTCTTTGCAGTGAGCTTCAACTTCTTATTGCTTTCTGGAGGCAATCTATCCTTCCCCAAAAGAAACTCTGAATTTCTATAATACTGATTAGCCTTAGGCGTCCTCTTCTCCTTCTCAACAAATTCAGCCGCCCCATGATTATTCTCCATCACAGAAACATTCAAGTGTCGAAACGGTCTTGTTTCTTGATATCCCCCAGAACCTGCCTCAGAATTCACCCTCAGTAACTGTGGCCGACTATATTGATGTCCCAATGTACCAACCTCCGAATTTGCCCTCAACAACTGTGGCTGATTATAACCGCCAAAATTACCAACACTGCCACCGACATACCTAGAGTTAGTGTTAACATTACTTGTACTGTAAGCAGTAAGCTGATGCTCCTTGGCTTCAACCTTCCCAACTAAAGTTCTAACCTGATCAAGCTCGCTTTCTAGCTTCCTCTTAAGCTTCCTCATCTCATCCTTCGATCTCGATCTTGTTATATTAATCCTAACCCTATCATCAACCCTAGTAATAACGGGCTTCCGAAACCCATTCACCAAAGCCCCAGAGGCAGCACCATTCACCGGCCCATGACTGCCAGTAACCTCTGGTACTTCATCAACTGGCGCTGCCACCTCTGATTGCTCTCGCTCAGGAGGGTCTTCTCTAGCAGTATTCGGCAGGGCTTCTTGCTCAGCTTCTGGGCCATTGCACCGGGGCGGCTCTTCTTCTCCACCATTAGGCAATACTTGTTCCTGTCCACCAGTAGGTTGCATCTCAGGCAGAGCTTCACGGCCACTGCTCGGGGAAGGCTCTTCTCTACCACCACTGGGCACGGCTTCTGGCACGTCAGGCAGAACCTCTTGGTCTTCTCTGTCACCATTAGATATCGGGTCTTCTCCACCACTGGGCAACAACTCTTGGCCACTGGTGCCTTCCTCCGGCAGCGGTCGAACAACGTCTGAGGTCGAGGGCTCGCCCTCGGATCTCGACTGCGGCTGCTCTTGCGAACAAATTCCATTTTGGGCAGCTAAGGTTTCTGCCGAGGAAAGCTCTAAAGTCGCGTTCTTGCCAAAAGATTCATTTTTGGCGGGGCTCGAAGAGGTGGGCTCTGTGTCACCGGCGGTGGAGGCTGCTGCTGCGGCGGTGGAGGTCGGCTCGGCAGCAGCGGTGGTGGAAGTGGTGGCAGAATCGTTATTTGCAGATTCTAATTGGGCCTTTTTTCTGAAATTTCTTCGGGTATAGACTTTGCTATTATCCCCCCACCGAACCCTCTCTCGAACATTCAAATCGGAATTACTATCATTAGTCCCTAAAGTCCCTGAATCCATACAAACATCTAAATCAAGAAAAAAAAGCCCTAATCTTTCAACCCTCAAAACCCTAGATATTAAGAAATCACATAAATTCCCAAACAGCTAGGGTTTCAATAAAAATGTCAAAATCAGATTCCCAAAAACCCTAGTTCGATTGACGCACCATCAAAGTAACAAAAATAAAAAACTATTATAATTATAACCAAACAAAAATCGGAATCCTACGGGCTAGGGTTTTGTTTTAAATAGTTGAAACCGAAAGAAGATGAAATTTTTTGAAGACAGGAGGATCTGCAAGTTTTTTTTTCCTTTAGAAAATATTTTTAAAAAATAAAAATAAAATAAAAACAGGGGTGAAAAATCGAAATAAAAATTGGAATTTTAGGGTTTGTTTTCAGGAAACAGAGGAGAGGGGCAAATAGAGAGAGAAAGAGAGAAGGCGAAGAGAGAGAGTGCGCTTGAGAAGTGAGGTGGTGGTAGATCCGAACGCTACTCGCCCGGTTTTTAATTTTCCATTTTTGTTGGGGTTAAAACTCCTAATTTTGGAAAAATATTTATTAGACGCGCTCACGATTCGCGATATTTCTAGCGGTCGGGTGGCTGGGATCGCTGAGTGACGTCAGCTGTGAGGGTGGAGTCTCAGTTGTGGTGATTCACAAGCGCTGGTTGTGCGATTGTTTTTCGTTCTCCACGTGCGAAGGGTTATCGACAATTTGTTCTTATTTATATTTATTTATAGGAAAAAAAAAATTTTTTGGGGATTGTAACTGTTTTGTTCTGGCGTTGGCTGTTCCCCTCCGACGCACTTTTGTTGTACGGAATAGTTTTTCAATCAACTTTAACTTCGTCTCATAATATATACGATATGATTTACTACGTGACTTGATCTAAAGTCCGTTTGAGATTTGAAAAATTACGTTGTGTTTGGATTGCATTTTTCATGATTTTTCATAAAAAAATTACTGTATCGATTTGATGTATGTAAGGAAAAAAGATAATAGGAAAATGTGATCACGGAAAATAACGTAATTTTCCGACGAAAAACTGCAATCCAAGCAAGGCTTTATTTTAACTCTTTTTAAAGTTAATTTATATAAAACTAGAATTTTGTGTTTGGATGGAAGTTATTTGTCTTTAACTTGGTAACATAATATGATTTACTAAATTACTTAACCTTAAGTCTATTTGAAATTTGAAAAATTATTTCGACACTTTTAAGCGTCTTTAAAAATTGATTCATATAAAATTAAAGTTTTGTATTTGAATAGGAATTATTTGTCCTTAATCTCGTCTCGTAATATGATTTACTATTATATGACTTGATCTTAAATTCCATTTAGGATTTGAAAGATTATTTCAACACTTCTAAGCATTTTTTCAAGTTGATTTATCTAACATTAGAACTTTGTGTTTGGACAGGAATTGTTTATCCAAAAAATTATTTATTTACATTACAAGTATATTTTTTAATCTATCTTTTTATCTTTTCATAGTAGTTTAGGGCCTATTTGTCAATTCATTTTCTTTCACAACTGACAACTCCAAAAGTCAAAACGACGAGCTTAGAAATTGAAAAGTTTCTTTTTTTTTTTTGTTCAAAACAAAAAAAGAAACGAATTTTAGGGAAAAAAGTTATATACTAGCCCGTTCTTTTCTGTACTGAAGCCCGAGTGCCCGGCGTTTTCGCTTCCCAAATCTCTTTCTTTTCACCCCAAAATTTAAACTCCCCGTTGTAGATTAGCGCAGCCAGAGAATTAGAGCGCGTACAACGTCTTTGGCTGAAGGTACTGCTTTTATCTCTTGTTATAATAGTTTGTTTACCTTGTCATGCCTTGTTCTGTTCCTGTTAATTCCACGCTTCTATGTTTCTCATTTTTCACTATCAAGTTAATCAATCACACCCTTTCTTTTCTCGCTCATGGTAGTTGAAATTTGAGTGAATAATTTTTCAGCAATTTTTACCATTTTCATATACTATGCGTTGGATTATGGATACTGTTTATGTAGATAAAGGTATAGATTCCTGATTCATTCTTAATTTTTTTGGTGAATTGAGAAATTAGAGTTTATTTTCAGCAATAAAATTACTGTAATGGAATAATGGGATGGAATTTAATTATGTAGATTTCTGTATTGAAGAAGTAATGGAAGAAGGGATATTTGATGATGCGACGGATCAAATTTCGCAATTGCCTGAACTCATTTTGCAGCATATTTTGTCTTTCCTTGAGGTTAAAGAAGCAATTCGAATGTCTGTTGTGTCGAAGACTTGGAATAATGCAGTTGCCATGCTCCACTCATTGAATTATGGAGATGGGAGCCTTTTCCCCGTTGCAAAAAGAAACGAAAATGAGGAAGTTGTATTCGACAAAATAAGAGAGCTACTGAATGGTGTTGAATCCATGATTCGGAAAAGGCAGGAGCAGAATGTAGGCGTGCAAAAGTTCTGTCTTCGACTGTCGCATAGCTACAAGTTGTTAGATTTGACACCTTACATTACCAGATTGACGAAAGAACTTAGTGCCTGCAACATAAAGGAACTGGTATTTAAGGTCGGAATGTATCGGGGCAAGCCGTGTTATACCTTGCCCAAAGATGTGTATACTTGGTGTTCATTGCATAAGCTTGAGTTAGGAGGATTCAAACTCAAATTGCCTTCACGTGGTGGTATAATAAGCCTTTCGTCTTTGCGTGAGTTGCGATTGTATAAGACTGATATGGATCATCGAGTATTTCAGCTTCTGATCATGAGCTGTCCTGAGCTAGAGTTTCTGAGTGTTGATTATTGCTTTGGTTTGGATCGTCTAGAAATTTTTGGGTTACTGAAATTGAAAGAGATCAGAATGCGTAACTGCCTCCAGAATTTTGACAAAATTCAGATTCAAGCACCAAATCTTGAGTGCCTCAATCACCATGGTCTGGGCACATTATCCCTGGTTGATGTGAATTCTTGCAAAAGTCTGAAGGTTTTAGTTTTATATTCTCTAACCTGCGATAATAAGTGGGTAGAGGACCTTCTTTGCAATCTTCCCCTCCTTGAGGTTTTCAGGTTGATTGGTTGTGAGGGACTGGAAATGGTTAAGATCTCAAGTAATCATCTTAAAGTATTGGAGCTTGACTCATGCAAGAACCTTGTTAAGACTGAAGTGCATGCCCCTCTTTTATCTGAATTCCATTATTGTGGCAGCCTTTCAGTATCTCTTTCCGTAGAAGCTGTAGCTAAAGAGTTGGTTTCCCTGGATATAGAGCAGAGAACTGATGAGGTTCTATTGAATAATGAACTTGTGGAGTTTCTCCAAAACTTCAATCATTCAAAGGTCATTAGATTGATTACTGGCGAGCTACATAAGGTATTAGTTACATTTGTTTGACATACAATATCTTGAATGACATGCTTATATATACACTATCTTTTGTTGTTATTTTTGGTTAAGATAACGAGGTTGATATCCTCAAGGGACAGCCTATTGCAACCGTTAATCTTGCTAATTCTCTAGTAGTGCAATTAATCTGATGCCATTATTTGCTTTTATATTGCAGTTGTCCCTCGCAAAAGACCTGTGTCCGCCACTCTATGATGTCAAGCATTTGACTGTTAATTCAGATGGAGTGGATAAATCAAAGATTTTGGACCTTTTGGATTCTCTTCTTTGGATGGCTCCTTGTTTGGATACTCTAGACCTTAATCTTGCTTGTGATGAGAAAACTGTCAAGGTATGCAATTTCCCTTCCAAAGTATGGTCTTATGTCCATATGTTTCCTATTGATGAAGCATCTTATCTCTCTCTTGGAAGTGAGTGGTGGATGATTATTGGTTTTTAATTACTGTTTCTTTCAGGAAAAAAAATATATGTTCGACTTTGATTTTTTTGGTGAATTTATGCTAATACCCGAAAATTACCTAAATTTGAAATTCTTATTGGTCATTAGTGCTAATACTAGAAGGTATGGGTACACAGTAGTATGAACCTTCTATTTTTGAAAACATATAGTACCTTGTCCTTAAAACTCACGAAGGTAGAATCTTGGCAAACATACATCTTCTGTTTTTTTTCTTTTGGTTTAATGTTTGCCCTCTCTTAGAAAACTTCTTATAATTAGCCTTGTCATAAATTCATTCTTTAGACTGGCTGCTGGTTCTGATTTTCATTTGCTTTTCTGATTCAGTTCACTCGTGAATCTCCCCTGATAGTGGAGGGTGTCCCCTGTTGCCCATCCGTACCCTTCAAATGTTGGCACCATACCCTAAAAAAAGTCGAATTTGATAACTTTGAAAATGTTGAAGATCATTGGAAGCTGCGGAATTATTTCGTTGAGAACGCAAAGATATTAGAAAGTATTGATGGTCTCATACAATGTGACAGAGCTTGAATCATGCATGAACCTGCTTTCCCGCACGCTACTTGGAGAATAACATTTAAGTTGGTTCTTGGATATTCACGCTGTAACTTGAGCTAAGTGTCATTGACCTTGTTTTGTACTAGCTTGAATTAGAAGTGTCATCTTGCTCATTGTGCATTTCACATTTAAACGAGATATGCATAGTGCATGTGTTGATGATACAAGACTGATTGACACCAAGTTATGCTACGATCATAAGAACAGCTTACACGCGTGATACACTGTGAGAACTAATTGTTGATAACTGTGAGAACTAATTGTCATTGAGCCATCCTCCTTCGCCATCTTTCACATACTAAAAATAGAACTGCAGAGGTCACACATGAATGAACACCGTGTAGTGTTGAAAAAAGGATTAAAAAAGACACACACACACACACACACACAGAGCAAAAAGGGTACTACTACTTTTGTTTCACACACTAAATTACGACTCTGAGCAAACAAAAGATTTGGGTTGGTCCGAATTGTAGCTTGAATTGCAGTGATAATTACGACAATGCTGGTGGTACTCCAGAATGATGTTGAGGGTCTGGTCCTCCTGGTGCCATTCTCATGGTGGCACCATCCGGGATTTTCCTCCTCCGATAGCACTCCAACTTGGCTTCATCAATCCCAAGCTCACGCCATGTCAAATGAGGGTTGCCTCCAGGCCTTTGTGCAGTAGATTCGAATCCAGGAGAAAGACGAGCCCCTGAAGTCGCAAAAAACATGAAGGATACGATCATACCAAGCAACAGAAATCTCACAGTTCCATGCAACTTCGACATACTTTCGAGGTTCTGTCTGTACATCACAATGAAAAGATCAGCACAAGCAAATTTTGATTCCTATAGTTATCAAGTAGGCCAAGAGAGTTGGCAATGTCTAAATAACAAGTGAACTGAGTAGTTATCGAGTGACCCAATCCTCCCATATATAGGACAAAGCTGGACAGACAAATGAAGTTGGAAGATCAGGTGATGCGACATTCTTCCACCAGGTTCAATTTTAAAGGCTGCTTTGTTAAAAATTGGCTAAGCGGATAACTCCGACAGGAAAAAAGTTTGTCGTCTCCCTACATTTATATGCAATTT